AAACATGTACACTTATATCTAATGTTTGTTTGGTATATAGGATCAGTAATTGTTGGGTCCACCTCATTATCCTCTTCTTTAGTCATAATCTCAGCTTCATTCATTCATTACCAAGCACTTAAGCCCTGACATGAACTGGGTTCTTCAATGAAAATTGGTAAATTGCAAATAACTGAGGCACTACTCACGAAAAGCAAGACTGTGGCTTTCTCCTTGGTTACTGAGGACAGCAGAAGGGAAAAATGGGCAGAGTCCAAACAAATTTAGTTTAAATGCAAGGGAAAATGTTGTCAGAGCAGAAGTTAAATCACTAGGGAAGACTGTTGAAGGAAGCTGAGAAGCATTCACAGGTGTACTTAAAAATGAGTGTTTCTTCTCCCTGCAAACATCTCAGAATTACTCTTAGTACAGCAGGTCCTCAAATAACATCATTTCGTTCAATGTCACTTTGTTAGAATGTAGTTGAGATGCCATAGGAACTTAACTCTTGTTTATATCAACCACCCATGGTAAAATAGGTTTCCTTATATGTCATTTTGCTTAAAGTCACAGACCCGATTGATGTCATTAATTAAAGACTACAGTATTTGATTTTCCTCTTTGACCTTGACATAGAAATTCAACAAGTTCTATTTGGGTGGTTTAACATCATGTCAGGGCTTAAGTGCTTGAGTATCCTCCAACTAAGAGAAGATACAACTTTCTTTCCCAATAGACAAACCTTCCAAAGGAGAACATTTTAGGTCTTTTCAATAATACAGTGGTTCTCAACCTTCTGGCCCTTTAAATACAGTTCCTCATGTTGTGACCCAACCATAAAATTATTTTTGTTGCTACTTCATAACTATAATGTTGCTACTGTTATGAATCGTAATGTAAATATCTGATATGCAGGATGGTCTTAGGCGACCCCTGTGAAAGGGTCATTTGACCGCCAAAGGGGTCACGACCCACAGGTTGAGAACTGCTGCAATAATAAAACTGGAAACACAGGTTGATACTGGGATGTTAATACATATGCCCCGATGACTCCTTCTGCACAAGTGAAAAGGCAGCCCTGGGGAATTTGAAGAAGTATGTGGATGTGGATGAAACAAGAGTGGAAGCGAGTGAATAACTGCTGGAGCTAGGCTCATGGGTACATGAAGTTCATGATACTAGCCTCTCTACTTTTTCCATCATCAAAAGGCTTTTTAAAAAATGATGAAAAAAGGAAACTAAAATAATAATGCCTGCCAAATGATCAGAAAGAATGGAAGACTAATTAGGAATGAAGGATTAGGATGCCATGAGTCACTACACAGGTAATATAAAACATTATTTTAGCCAATAGCTTCAATCCCTTCCCTCAATGCACAGCAATCCTCTTACCTGGATACCCATTGCTATACCCATCAAAATGGGTTTCCTGGGCTTTTATTTTGCCTGCCCTGGCTTTGATGAAAGACTCATAGTCAGGCAGCCCAGGGTAAAGGTAAAAGCAAAGGTGTGCAATACAATCCATGAATATCAAAAGCTGACAATCTAAACAACAGAAGGTTTGGTCAAAAAAGAGGTGTGATGGGCTCTTAATTTCCATCTTGAATTTTTACTTCACTAATCACTCAGAAAGTCATAATTCTATATAGAGTAGGTAATCAATGAATGTTAATTAGCCAAAATGGCAGTTTTGGCTCATTCATCCAATTAGACATGGCCACACTACCAAAGCTTTTAAATTTATCCCACAATGAAAGTGTTTTTTGACAAATCCAACATATGAGGCATTTTCTACCTGATATCCAGAGAAGACCATCCGCCACGTAGCCAGCGTGACATGAAAGCGATCTGTCAAAGGACTGCACAAAAGTCCACTTGTTCTTCTTGGGGCAATATCTCTCAACTGTAGGCAGAACCTGGCGCAGCTCATTTCTGCCCCCAACTGCATAGAGGTATTCATCCATGGCCCCCAGCACAAAATGCTCCCGACAGTTTTTCATGGGTGCTATCTCTGCCCAGGAATTACTGCGGGGGTCATAGCGACAGGCAGTCCTCACAGCACACGTCCGGCCAGTCGCGTGCTCCACTTCCCCTCCTGCCACAAACAGAAAGTCCCCCATGACGGCCACACAGTGGTGGCTCCTTCCCACAGGCATGGGGGCCAGCTCACTCCAGTTGGCAATGGCAGCTATGAGAGCGTTCTCCTGATCAACAGGATTGAAGTACCGAAGTTCCTTGACTTTACAGACCTCGCGCTTTTTCCCACCAATGATATACAGAGTGTCTGACTGGAACCTTGGTTTGGTCCTGCAGGTCTGCCACACGGGCTGTGCATAGATGCTCTGGTGGTATTCCAGGGCCTCATTGACAAGAGCTGTTGCAGTCTCACTTGCCTGGACGAGGGGGTGGGACAGGGCAACTGTATGGAGAGTATCCACATCCATCAGGCCAAAGCGGATATACTGCAGGAGCTCATCCATGTACTGGTAATGGCAGTTGTGTTCCAACCACCTCACGGCTAGCTGAAACAGAGGGAGGGGAGGGGAGAGGGCAATACAAAGGTAAGAAAGAGAGCCTAAACAAGGGCATACAGAAGGCCACTGTGTATTCTTTCAGACACTTAACATTTTTTTCTTACAAATCATATTTTGATACCTGTTGAGAATTTTCTCCCCCTGCATCAGCAACCCCCCTCCTCCCCCACAAAACAACATAAAAGAACTCAAGACATTGTTGTAGGCGTTAGAAACAATGTTAAGCAACAGTAATGGGGACTTTAAGCTATCACTTGGAGTGAACAATAATCACTTTTTATTTTATTTTAAAAAATATTTTTATTGATTTCAGAGAGGAAGGGAGAAAGGAGAGGGAGAGATAGAAACATCAATGATGAGAGAGAATCACTGATTGGCTGCCTCCCACTGGGGATCGAGCCTGCAGCCCGTGCATGTGCCCTGGCTGGGAATCAAACATGATCTCCTGGTTCATAGGTCGACAGTCAACCACTGAGCCATACCAGCCGGGCAATAATCACTTTTCAAAGAATAAAAATACTGTGGTGAGGCAGACTGTTCCCTTACATTTCATGCAAAAGAGGCCTGATACACCCCACCCCCAGGAAATGTCAATGGTGAGTGGTGCCATCACAGTTCAAGCAATGTATGTCAGCCCATGAGTCAAGGTGCTGTATCAATGTAAGTAATGTAAGAAAATATGTGATCATCTGAGACCACAGGGTATACTTGAGAGAAAATCAATATGACACTAGTAGAATGATTTAGAAAGGAAAAGGACTTTTTCCCCTGCCCCTTTGGTTAGTATATCAGTCAGGAAGCAAGAGAAGAAAAAGGAAGATTGAAATCTATCAATTTAAATTTTTTTTTCAATTAGTTTTCATCTTCAAGACAGTTGTTATTTGCCCATGTAAGATATTGGCAATTTGTTAGAGCCTTTCCCCCAGAAACAGGATATAGAAGAGATTATCTTTGTATTATGAACAACATAGCACAATGTAATCCTAACCTTGTTATTTAGGCCCAGATCACTTTCAGGAAAAAAAAGTTGTAAGAACTTATGGCTACAGATAATGTCTTAAACTAAAGTAGGTGCATTAAGCCATAAATAACAAAACTGAACAATAGTTTAGAAAATACCATCAGCAAAACACTAATTCATGTTATGGAGCACCCAAAGAAATTTAATTAATGTGAGTTAATATTTAAGTTTGGCAAACTTGTCCACACATTAGCATAAAGAAGTATATCTAATATCTCCAGTCACTATATTTGATATGAACAATTCTGTGCAGCACCTATATTAAACTCAATCTCCCAGGCAATACAAATGTGGATCTGAAGGAACAGCATGAAAAAGTAAAGTAATGGCCCAGCTGGTGTGGCTTATCATCATATGCACATCAACCTATGAACCAGGAGGTCAAGGTTCAATTCCCAGTTAGGGCACATGCTCGGGTTGTGGGTTAGATCCTGAGTTGGGGGCGTGCAGGAGGAAGACCATCAAATATTCTCTCTCATCATTGATGTTTCTATCTCTCTCTCTCCTTTCCTCTCTGAAATCAATTTTTTAAAGAAGTAAAGTAATGAATTAGAATACTGAATAATTTTTTTTTTACTTGCTTTCTGTCCTCGTAACAAGGATCACTAAACTCTCCAAAACACTAGATCAGTGGTTTTCAACCTGTGGGTCGCGACCCCTTTGGCGGTCAAACGACCCTTTCACAGGGGTCGCCTAAGACCATCCTGCATATCAGATATTTACATTACGATTCATAACAGTAGCAACATTACAGTTATGAAGTAGCAACGAAAATAATTTTATGGTTGGGTCACAACATGAGGAACTGTATTTAAAGGGCCAGAAGGTTGAGAACCACAGCCCTAGATCCACCGTGCCGGCGAGACTGAGACCTGCCACGCTGTGAGACCCATCAATGCACCTCCTGGTGACCGATCGTTTGGTTGTTACAGCGTTACAGCGTTACAGCCACTGGCCTTTTATAATATAGACTAGTGACCCAGCACGCAAACTCGCGTGAGACCCAGACCCGCGGTAAATTGCGTGAGACCTGGGACCCCCAAGTCCCACAGGTGCCGGGGGACTCCCCCAAGTCCCAGCACGCTGTGGGACCCCGAGTCAAGTCCCCGCCCACCCGTACACACCTCACTGCGCATGCAGCCCCACCCACCTGCGGGCGCCTCGCCGCACACACAGCCTTCTGGTGACTGGTCTTTATGACCACTGGGTTTTTATTATATAGATAGATGATTCATAAATATTTTATTTAAGTTTTAAAAAAAGCACTGAAAGATATAAAAACAGAAGTAGTTAAAAGTAGTATTAGTACTCTCTTTGAGAAATGGGACTAGAGTGAGGGAGAGATGACAACTATTTTGTTGTTGTTAATCCTCACCTGAGGATATTTTTCCATTAATATTTAGACAGAGTGAGAGGGAAGGAGAGAGACAGAGAGAGAGAGACACATTGATTGGTTGCTTCCTGCACATACCCTGATTAGGGCCAGGGATAGAACCTGCAACGGAGGTATGTGCACTTAACTAGGAATGGAACCTGCGATCCTTCAGTCCATGGGCCGATGCTCTATCCACTGAGCCAAACCAGCTAGGCCCAGGGCCCTTCCTGATCTGGCCTTACTCCATGTCTCCGGTTGCTTCTCTCCGAAGGCCTGCATGTCCCAGCTCCTCACCTGTAAATGGCCTGGTAACAGTCCCTAACTCCTATGGTGTGAGGATGAGATGCTCTAGGGCAGGGGTGGGGAGCCTTTTTTTCTGTCCAGGGCCATTTGGGTATTTATAACATCATTTGCAGGCCATACAAAGTCATCAACTTAAAAATTAGCCTGCTGTATTTGGCCAAACATTTAAATTAATTCACCCTTAATGCCATGGTAGGGCCAGACATTCCCCACCCTTGCTCTAATGCAGCGGTTCTCAACCTGTGGGTCGCGACCCCTGTGGTGGTCGAATGACCCTTTCACAGGGGTTGCCTAAGACCATCCTGCATATTAGATATTTACATTATGATTCATAACAGTAGCAACATTACAGTTATGAAGTAGCAACGAAAATAATTTTATGGTTGGGTCACAACATGAGGAACTGTATTTAAAGGGCCAGAAGGTTAAGAACCACAGCTTTAATGGGAAAGAACCTCACCAGTAATATACCAAAGACACAGACTGGCAAGTTGATCTGGAAGCTTCCTAGGCGGTCACTACTGGAAAATAGGATTCAAAATCCAAGTCCTGCTTTTCTAGGTTATTCTTGGGTTCCAATTTAAGAAGGTTTAAATCAATAAAGTCTAAGTAGGATGCTTTAGTAAAAATACAGGATACTTATAGCTTATTATTATGGGTAACACAACATATTTCCTATATAGTAAGATGTGGGTAAGATCTTACTATGGGTAAGACAGCATATTTTGAGACCTTGGTTCTATAAGGTCTATAACTCAACAGCTGATTCTGATAGCACAAGGCAAGTATTATGATCACTCCATGCAGTTTTGCTTTTACAATAATCGATAAATAAATGTAATAGTGTTATTGTACTGTTTTTACTTTCTTGAAAGTGTAAAAGAGAAAAAAACACTGAAACCATGGATAACTCTTATTTATCCACTACACAAGTCATTCATACCTGGGTTTACCTTTTCTCCAGATCAAAGGTAAATATGAATTACAATGAACTATTTTGCCCCCAGCTTCAAAACAATCTCATCTGGACATAGTATTATTTATAAACTAGAGGCCTGGTGCACAGATTCATGCACTGGTGGGGTCCCTGGACCTGGCCTGCGGGGATCGGGCTGAAACCGGCAGTCTGACATTCCCCGAGGGGTCCCAGAGTGCAAGAGGGCACTCTGCAAAGTTGCTGTCGCTCGACTTCTCCTGTGTTGAGCGTCTGTCTCCTGGTGGTCAGTGAAGATCATAGCTACCGCCGGTCAGCCAGTCAGCTGGTCGCTTAGGCTTCTATATATATAGATTTAAATCCAGTGCTTCTCACACTTAAAATGTGCAAGAATTACCTGGGGTTTCTGGTCAAAATGTAGGTTCTAATTCAATAGGTGAAGGTGGAGGGGATCGGGAGTCTGCATTTCTAACTGTCTCCAGTTGATGTGTATGCTCTGGGACATGGACCACCCTTTGAACAGGAAAGTTTTAGATAGTTTTCCTCCCATTCATGAATTAGCAAATTGCTGCTTTATTAGACTAAATTAAGTATGTTGTTTCCAATTTAAGAAGGTTTAAATCAATAAAGTCTAAGTAGGATGCTTTAGTAAAGATACAGGATACTTATAGCTTATTATTATGGGTAACACAGCATATTTCCTACATAGTAAGATGTGGGTAAGATCCTACTATGGGTAAGACAGCATATTTTGAGGCCTTGGTTCTATAAGGTCTATAACTCAACAGCTGATTCTGATAGCACAAGGCAAGTCATATGATCACTCCATGCAGTTTTGCTTTTACAATAATGGATAAATAAATGTAATAGCGTTATTGTACTGTTCTTACTTTCTTGAAAGTGTAAAAGAGAAAAAACACTGAAACCATGGATAACTCTTATTTATCCAAATAATGAAAGCACTGTCAAAAAATTTAAAACAATGGGCTACGTCAAAATCACTTCTCCACTGTGAACCCCACCTAGCACTCCCTATTGCTTGCCATGCTGCATTACAAGTACAGGCAAGGTGGCAGAGGGAATGCTGGAGCCCATTTAAGGAGTTTAGAGTCTACCACTGTAGTCTTTTAAGCCCTCAAATACATAATAAATAGTACAGGCAAGGTGGCGGAGGGAATGCTGGAGCCCATTTAAGGGGTTTAGAGACTACCGTAAGCAGAAGGCTGATTCATCATTGGGGCATCATAGAATCCAAAGACACAGTTCGCTTTGTAGTGTATTTTGATGGTTATGTTCTCAGGGAAGGTTGAAATCCTATTCACCTTACTTATTCTGGTATGATGACATCCCCATCA